GAGAAAAAAAAAAAAGCGGGGGGGGGGGGGGGAGATGAACGTTTAATTTCCCTCCCACAAGGGATAACATAAAAAATGTGTTTTCCATTACAAATTTTAATCAGAAAAATAAGCTTTGGTGCCGAAGAAACAAACACTTCAAGAGAATAGCAGATTTATGAAATCTATTTTATACACGTTTCTCACATATACCTTTCAAAAATTCAATCTATTTGTTACTGATTAGAAACTTACAAGGACCTAAACAATTTTTAACAAAAATCAAGTATTAAACTCACCCCTGATCCATCTTCCTTCCCTGGTCGAAGTCCAGAAGCCAACATGTATGTGCTACCGATTGTCTTGATCTTCTCAATTCCACTAAACTTCGGTTTCAACAACAACTGAAAGTAAAATATGGACTTACTGGTGGTTTCGAGACACGAGATAGAAGCAATTTAATCCCCTTTCAGCTGGTGCACTTCTATCCAGACGACTGGTTACAAGAACACCAAAAAACATGGTAAAGTTCACAATATGAAGACTTTTGCATTAGATGGAGGTGAGTTGTGAGCTTCGTGCAAAAGCTTATGTTGCCCACTGCACAAAGATCTCTTGTGCCCGCCCAAAATCAAAGCCAGGTCATTGAGCACACGGCCTATTCACTGTATCTGACTGAGGTACCTGGTTCCTCCATCTTAAAACCAAATTTCATATTCATAGTTAAAAGAACAATAATGAAGAATCAACAAACCGAGATGCTACGCTGCAGGCATGACGATTATGATAACAAGGGTCCAACTGGAAGAACTTGTAATTGCTCACTAAAGTTGTGGAACAGAACGAATTCTCACCTTGTCAAAATCACAGATGATCTCATTGAGTAGCCGGAGACACTCGAGTCCCTGTTTGTTGACGTCATTCTCGTCGTAGAACTCTTTGTAATTCGGGATGGACGCAAACATGACGGCAACGCTGCTGTATCGCTCGTGGTAAAGTTCCTGTCGAACAGACACAAATTTCATAATTCAATTAATAGGCTAATGGGCAGGCATCCTTAACAACTACTGGGTTCAGGAATATGCAGGCGTGTCCCCATTAAGATGAGGCTACATTTGCGGGTGTCTCAGTGTGAAATGGAGTATTCATGAAGACGTCAAAATTCTCGCAATTCTTGGTGTTTGCAAAGAAGAGTGGTTATCTGCTTGAGAGGCGCGTCCGACGTTTCACATGGAATTGATACACATATAATTCTGTGAATATGGATCCTGAATTCGAATTATGTTTCTTTGAAAATGTCAACTAGGTCGCTAATTTTTAAGGTAAGAGTACGGAACACTGGATGAACGATTTTTGTTGAATGAAACATAAATGGTGAATACAATAAACATTTTGTACTGTTAATGAAGCAATCTGCCAAGTTTCAGTTTTACGATTTTGGTCCTACAAGATCTTCAATAAACATAGTAGTATTTATTAGCATTTCGCAGCCCACGTGGAAAGTTAAAATATAAACTTGTTGTCCCATTCGCATGAAAACAACAAACGTGTTTGAACTACTGGCTACGTTGTGCGATTCAGACGAAACGTCTGCTTCTACCATAACCATTTCCATTTGTAACTACATAGCATTAATGTATTAAATACACAGTTCCTACAAACAATAAAATTAGAGACAAAAATGTAGAGAACATTTGGATAGGATGCCGCAGGAACGTATACCCAATGCTGCTATGGAACAGAAACCAAAAGGCCGACAGAGACCTTGGAACACATACAAAGAGGTGGAAGGATCAACAGATCCAAGTCTTTGCTTCGGAACAGGAAAATTAGTACCGAAGCCTTAGAAAGGAGGAAGAAGAGGTTATTATAGAAATTTCAGGGATTATTATGCACTATAAACTGCGTAAGAGCCTCTAATCAAAAATTATTAGAAATAATGGAAATACAAATAAAATGCTTGTTTTAGAAAGTGGCAAATATGCAAGGGAATTAATAATGGCATCTTTCTCAACGAAACGGGCTACGTTGTAAAGAGCGGAATAGTTTTCATGACAAAAATATATGAAGGAGATTCCACAGAAACCTTCAGGAGGCACACGGTTTGAACGTAGTGTGTCGTTCTATCCCAGGGACATGAACCAAGCATTGGACAGCTGCGTTACGTAGAATGCGTTTGCAACATCTCCTGTACACATCGTGTCTTAAGATCCCTGAGGAAGGTATTAGAGGGACATGGCACTTGACTTAGTGGGATGTGTATCTCAATGGTTACCGACATGGCAATTTTCTGCGACAAAACTGATCTCTGTTATTCCCCCCTTGGATGAATTTCTATTGAGCCTTCCTTACAGACTTGATCAGAACTGTACCTGAGTATTCCTCTTGTCCAGGAAGTGTTCTGCGACATGAGCAGGGAGAATGTTTTCCAGCAGGATCTTGTTTATTCCCCTCATGGTCTCCACCTCCTCCTGCTCCACCTTCAGCTTGGCTTTCCATAAGAAATCTGTCCGAGAGGTGAACTCAATCTGGCGGTCCAGCACGTGGAGGAGGATTAGCGTGACGGTGAGGAGCAGCGCAGTCTTCAGTTGATGTGGCAGCTCTTCGAAGCCGTCGTGCTTCCTGGAGTAATATCTGGGCACTAACTGGAGGCCGCTGAACACTGCCAGGTGGAATGTTGTGACCACTAACATCAGCACCAGTTTGAGCAGGAAGCCGACTCGGAGGAACACGGATATCGTCGCCAGTGACAGCACTGAGCCGTACAGATACGACTGCAACCAGAGTATCACTCTATCTCTTACTTAGGCCTAGAGCTTGTATCCTGTACATGTACAACTGTGTGTAGGCCTATGTATTTGTGTATCTGCGCCTGAGCTCAGGAACAACACCGAGCAACAAATTCTCAACGCAGGCTTCTGAGCTTCAGGGCTGCAACAAACAAGGTGAGATTTCAGGTTCTCTCAATGGCAAGTATAAGGATAACTATCTTCTGGGTTACTGTACTGTCTAGTCTTATAGAAACTGATCGACGTTTCACAGGTTCTTACTGCCTCCATCATCAGTGTGATGAGTCTTATCATCCTGATAATGGTTGCAGTAAGCACATCTCAAAAGTCTGCAAATTTCTACCAGACTGCGCGGCGTAGCATCTCAGAAGACTGTCATCTACAATAAACAAGCTACAAATATACTTAAGTCCAGACTTCCATTGACACATCAGTCTGGACGGGGCGGATGTTGGACTGAAATTGAATTGTATGAAAATTATTAACAAAAGGCATGGGCAGTTAAACACGATCACAACAATTCTACTACCACAGGATAATTCTGAACACCGCGGGCAATGGCTACGATCTGGATTGGGTTTTTGGAATCAGAGGAACAGGATAAAAAGAAAAATACGAAAATCTAATTGTCCTATTTTCTGATGACCTTGAATTTTATTACGAACTCCATACTTACCGGGACGCTATCGACAAGAGAGTCATCTAGCGGCGACGCCTCGAAGCTTGTCTGGAATAATAACGTTCTGTTGGGTACAGATGGCGCTGTAATAGCCTCTGACGGAAATTCGGGATCGAGGACCACCTGTTGGAAATGAACAGATTAACTAGACGAGATGATACGAAACGTTTCTTTGTTATCGTAAAAACCTTTCGCCAGGAATTTTATCAAGCTCGTAAAGCCTAATACGTACAGGCATACAAAAAGTGTCGCCATGCGTTCTTTTGAAAAGTTTCAAAAATTTCAAAATTTGTAATATTTCATCAGCTCTATTTCAAAGAAACTGCAATTTTAAAAACATCAGATTTTCAGAATTACCTACTTTTAAATATGTAAGGATTTAAAAATTGTAAAAATTTGAATTTACGCCCAAACTCAAAAGTTTAAAAATTCCCAAAACTTCCAAATTTCAAAACATAAACTACAAAGCAACTTGTTTAATGTCTCAAATTATCTACTTCGTCATTCTCCTTATTTTCAAAGTCTACCATTGTCCGCGCATCAAGAGAAGTCAGCTGGAAAGTAGTGTGGGTAAAGAGTGCCTATCCCTGTTCTACAACGGACTATAGCAGTCTGCAGCGCTGGTATAATCTGTGTCTCCAGCAGTGCAGTTCATCGTTAAGACGAGATGGACGCATATTTTGTGATAGAGTAAAGCGCAGCTGATCCCAGCTGACCTCTTATGGCGTGAGGACAGTGATTTACGTTCTTCCTTTGGTGCTGTAGGCAATTTACCAAAGTGATGACAGCACTAGAAGCTATAAGGGCCACAGATGTGAGGAACACGGCCAATCTAATCCATCTGCTGCTGGAAATGTCTTGATCAGCGCAAGGTCCCGATTCGTAGTCTCCTGTGACTCCACCAGATACCGGAATGGCGCTGACTGGACCGTAGTGAGGACAAAATCCGTCCATGTAGCACAAGTAGAGGAATATGAGCAGAACCAGGAGCGTCGCTCCACAGGAACCCCAGAGCACTATGGTCCTGCGCACAATGGTTAGAACAGACTGTTCTGAATGAAGCCTATTGCGATTTAACTCCTCACATATTATATGAAACAGTTGAATCGGCGACTTTAAAAAATATGCCAATCAGTAACTCGCACAGTGAAGTAGGGCTGACAACATATAAAGTAAGAACACCTTGTATTTTTTTTGCCTGACACGTGGCAACACTGGTGAAATAGCACATGATGGAACGTTACTGCATTGCGTAATAATAACATGAAATACAGAAGAAGCACAAAGAACTTTACACTTTTAAAATGACACAGAAGACAAATACGGTGTACTTAGAACTTCACGTACGCCGCATTTGATTTCTGCATGATTTTGAAAGTGTGAAATTTCTTTCGTGTTCACTTTGTTTATTTAGCTCTTTCTGTGCTCATTTCTAGACCAGCTTCCCTATTAACATAGCAAAAAACGAAAATGAAAAGATGCAGCTCTTTGAAGTATCATTACGCCACATAATGGACGATGATGTCGACAGGGCAACATGAAAATTATTAAATGCAACAGTGCTATCGTAAGAAACAACACCATCCAAGTTCATTTTAGCAAACATGTGATCTAAAGTCGTTGAAACATCCCAGAAGACATCTTCAATACGATCCAAGTTCACTGTTGAAACGACGCAATGACAGACAGACATGGACACCGATGCGTAAAGAACGCCTACTAAGTAATACAGGTCTAATAAATTTAACGTCTTCAAAGCGTGGCTTTTCATTAAAGACTTCATGGTGTTGTGCATAATGAATTTGGCTTCGGACAACTTCAGGATTCCAGGAAAATTTTGCTAATCCACACGTTCTGAAAGATTGATTACAACCAGCTAATTAGAACTGTTCTCGTCCACGATTCTCAGACATTCAAACAGGGCTAAAAAAATTTAAACCTCGAAGTTTCTCGGAAGAAACCCACTTACCAACCGACAATATTTATTTTTAAGAACAACGCATACCATAATGACAGCAATAAAATGTAACTGTAGTCTATATTCTGTAAAAAGGTGCGTGAGGTGATGAGAATATTCTTACCCAAGTTAACATTTAAAATTTCTTTTCAAGGAACTGTAGGTGATGAGAATATTCTTACCCAAGTTCCCATTTAAAATTTCTTTTCAAGGAACTGAAAGATGGAACCGGATTCAACTATTACGTCTCGACACTCATGAAAACTGACCATTACGTACAAAATGTTATGAAAATACTCAGCGTGGCTTTCTGTGACGTGATATTATGAAAAGCGCGTTACGTACCTGGGCATGCTGGCCACCTGTATAGCAAATAAACACAGGAACAACACTGTCGCGCAGAGAACATAGTACCGGAAGTGAGGGTCAGGTTGATTGCGGTAATCCGCCTCCTGGTGTGGCTTCCGAAACCACAGCAGTATTGGATTGAGTTCCTCTGACGTCAGCCATTTCCTGCGTATCAAACACAATGACCGACATCGTTTACATCTGAACTGTTTCTGGCAGGATCTGTGACAGAGGGCAGAATATCCTCACTATGCACTAAGTTTGAGACAACAATTAAGCCAACCAAATAAGTAAATATGCCGAAAGGACTGGTGTAGGCAAGGCTTGGGAAAACTTTTCGTTACAAAATGATGCACTGTCTATTATTATATTATTTACGTCTGAAGAAATTGGACACACTTGTCCTTCCATTTTTCGCAGGTGGAGTTTAATGTACAACCTGAGTTTCGGGGATCAGCCGTGTCGTGTGCTGAGCTGTAACTACAGTGTTTGCCGAAACGTCAAAACACTTTAAACTCACAGGAAATCGTAAAAAAAGCAAAATGTCATTCAATGATATTTTCTCATATCACATTTCGCTCCCATCTCTGAAGTTAACAACGCTGTCGATTAAAAGTGGCATATATAAACGTCGAACTGACTGCGCAACACTCATAACAGTTTAAGAAAAAATACAGTTTCTGAATGTAGGAGTGTGGTGGAACAGACACGTTTTTCAAGAGGTAACATTTTATTTGATATTGGTACTACTGATGGTCGTCACCAGTTCACTTGGTAGCGTTACAGGTGTGTGAGGTCGAAGATTAACTTGACGTACAACGAACGGTGCATCCCTTCGCACGTGGAGGCTGGGACCCAGATAAGCGGGCGGTAGGCTAACACTTCACAGCAGATACGGTAATCCGCCTCTTGTACAGGTTCTGTCAGGGTCTCAGAGCGAGTAGCACGTAAAACGTTGTTAATGGCAGACAGGGAAGACTGAACAGACATTTACCATCATACAGCGTCGTAATAAAGACCACAAATTAAATATTCACCAAAGTGTGAATACCAAATCTTCGTATTAAATTAAAAATCACAAGTTAATGGCATCGACACAGACAGAGGCTGGTTCGGTTTCTTCATGACTCGTTATCAGCTGCAAAGATGACTTTCCGTCCGTCATATAACAAGTGGTAGTAGTTAAGGTTGGAGGACGAAACTGATGCACACCATTTTGTCTAACTTCCCCATTATTCGCTTATATTTGCCTTGATTTATTCTGTAGTATTCTCGACCTGAATTATGTGGATTCGAAGCAAGTACGCTAAACACGAAGGACCCCTAGTTGAACCGAAACTACATGCAGCGGCTAAGAAAACAAAGCAATAGCCGAGACAGCCAACTGAATCACTAGTTGAAGCATGTTCACAAGACGAGTTACCGGAGCGAGTTTGTCAGTGTTTTGTTGACTCGACTAGTGTAACACGCACTTGAGTAACTGACTACTGGCCTCTAAATAATTAATAAGGAATCGATCTGGTAACTTGCTCCAGTACTCGTGTGAACAAGGCTTAACAGCGAGCACTTTCAACACTCACTTGCACTCCAGGCACGTATTCTTGCTGGGCAGAAGGTTCGACTCGATCATAGAAATGCTCTGAAAACAAAGGACGCAAAACATTTCAATAGCGCTTGTCTTTATCATATGATAAAGACCTGAGACGAAAAGGACGTCAGTTTACATATTTACAAGCCACGAAAAACTTGCAAGACACACACAGAAGTAAAATACTTGTCTTCCCATGCGATCGACTTTAAAAGAGAAGGAAATAAGTATTCCCAATAGAAAGACAAGAAAACCTTCCCAGCAGATAACAGCTCTGAGCTGCCACTAAAGAGGGGCGTTAAGAATACACATTATTTATTTATTTGACGTTTATCTGCTGCGTACATATAAACCCCCTTATTGACGAAAAATACTCAGTTGCCGTCTTGGACTGAAGCGCTTTAGCTGTGACCTGTTCGACGCAATCCTTGTTATTTCCATTTCCTGATCCTCTAATCCAGAAACAATGTTCTGCGCTGAAGAACACAAACGATCCTTGTCCATCTAAATTTCAAATACTCGTGTACAATGAATAAACCTACTGTATTTGAAAGTCAAGTATACGGGAATTTCTCGTCGTCACAGTTTATTCGTTCTGATCAATGTTTTACTGTAACAAAACGTATTCCTGTTTATATTGCTGTGTTCGTTCTACGTCATATCTTTGCCCTAAGGACGTCAGATGGCCAGTCAGTCCTGTACGCTACAAAACAGCATAAACAGTTGCTGTTTATTTTGTCTGATCGTAACATAAAGCGACGGATCCATATCGCTACAGAAACTCTGTAACATTTCCATTTGATCCAACTTCAATTCGGCATCGTATGTAAATTATTATTATATAAACAACACAATTATTCTTAGACAGCCAGCAATCGCTCACCTAGCCAGGAAACTACCCGAATTTTATGAAACCTGAATGTTCATTATCTTGTTCACAAGATGCCTTCACCTAACTCTGTTCTGAGCCATACAAATCCAGTCCGCACCCTCCCAACGAATAATAATGTCTCAGCTATAAATTGTACAAGTTAATTACGTATTTCATTTACACAACGAAAGAAAAAATGTACCGCCTGAGTTTGGCAAACTCAATAAACTCACAGCGAAATGTATCAAAACGTGTCTGACTGCTGCCTATGAGCTTAATTTGTGGTCTGTACTGTACTTCGGGGAGGGAGTCATGCATTATGCCGCCATCCGATGCAACGCTATTGCCATCAGCAACAAGAGTTCTTGGTATCTAGTATGAAAAATACGGTGTGCTTACACACTAATCAGCCAGTCCCTCCCTGGCTCGTACCTTCATACAAAAAACACGCTCAGGCTATAATATTCCCTCAGCCACGAGTTCCAGCCACAAAATCAGTACACCAGCACGTCAGAATAAGTGTTTCTGTTCGACTAGTACAGACTTAACAACATAAACAATGACTGAGTTCATAGCAGTTTTGTATCTCCCTTATAAAGCAACAACATTTAAGCTTGTATTCGACGTTTGTATGACTTTGTTCTGTTCAGTAGGATAAGTCTTTGTCATGGGAATTCTACTGTTTTTCTTCCCACAGCAGAATTCTTTTATTAATCCACATTAGCATTTATATAATCCCTAAACTAATTGTAGCTATAATCTCTGTGTATTAAAATATACGAAACTTAATTCTATTTATAATAATGCTGGATACTCACTGTGAGGCCGATGTTCTTTGCAAGGACACTCTCCGTGATGTTGGCAAACGGCTTGTCGGCGCCCCAGCACTCCACGTATTTGGTCATCTTGGACGGCGACCGGTTCCTCGAGGAAGAACTGAGCCCAGATTGATCGGCTTTGAGGACGGTATTTGAGCTTGAGGAGCTCCGTCTGCCATCTTCTGTCTCCGCTTTCTGAAACATGACAGACCGCCTCTTCATAGCCGACAACTGACTAAGGCCACAAACCGCAAAGTTCCCTGTTTTAATATTTCTATATCTGTTGCTTCTTAGGCTGGAACTCCATGGAGCTGAGTTCTTATTGAGAAACTAAAAGTCATTCATATAATAAAAAAATCACCGCTTTTTATGGAACCCAAAGGTTTATTACCACGAGGATTGCAGTCTTCTCAGTTATGGCACCGTTTAGTCTTGTAGGTGGTTACCAGCATGTCGGAGGAACATATCACCTCCATCTTCAGAGCAGAAGAACCACCTACAAGGTTACACGACATCATAATCAAGACGGGCACAATCTTCATTTTAACAGCAGCGAAAACCTGAGAGCTCATAAGTTACAAAAATGGGGCAGATAAATCCAATCCACATTTTTATATCCTGTTCCTAAACTCCATTCTAATATTAGCACATGTTCCCATTTTATCTCTCTCCTACAGGCTTTCCGATCAATTTTACGGTTTTCTATGTTCGACACTACTGATACGTACTGCGCCCATCTCAGCTCATTTTTTTATCACCGCAGTTTTTATTGAAGAGTACAAAAGTTAAGTTTCTCATTTCGCACTTTTCTTTCCAGCCTCCTGTTTCTTCCTTTCTTCCTTCCTCTTAGCTCGCAAGTAGTCTCTTCAACATTTCGTTATGAACTACTCTCGATCTATTTCATCAGTTAAGCGAAGGGCCAAATATCCCACTCATACAGAACAACAGATAACATTAAAGTTCTGTCCATACACATTTTAATTTACACGTTCATGGATAGGAGACGGGAAGAAAGAATTTTGAACTGAATGTTAGCAGCATTCCCAGTAAGCAGTTTAAATGACACGCACATTTTGCACACTTTTGGATGTCTCTAGTTTCTGCATTAATAAATTTAATCCAACCTCAATTAATGCACATTAATGTATTGAACCACTAACCGTAATTGTTTCCACTCTTTTACTGTAATTCAAGTGAGGTTAGGTTACTCTGTACTGACCGTCGGAGGTACGATCAGAAATGTCTCCACTTTGTGGTCGGCCAGGTAGCCCTCCCTCTGACCGCCATCTCCAGCTTCAACCTGGAAACGTTCGTTCAACTGGAGGAGCGTTGCCTTGGTGATGTGCACTCGGCTGTAACACACAACACGACACGAGGGCAGCTGTGAACACATGCGTGTTTGGCGTGAGACTTGCAGAAGGTCCCCACTTAGAATCCCGGTCGGAACGTTGGACACACGTCTGCACTGTGACTTTTCATCAAAACGACGAATTTATGCGGTACATAGTTCGAATCTTTACCGGGTTACCACCTATACTAACTGAAGCTTTCAGTATTTCTTCTTGCCCTCACCCGGTAAAAGTACGGATAGAACCTGTGGCTCTATAAAATGTGGAGAATATCTTCGGAGGATTTGAAGTTATCACGACGGTGAGCCCGAAGACGGCTTTCTTCTGGGCTGTAGCACCTTGTAGTCTGGTAGAAGTTTACCAAAGTTTCAGAGGTCATTTCTGCCTCCATCATCAGGGCTATGACTCATCGCCCTGATGATGGAGACAGACTTTTACCAGACTATACGGCGCTACAACCCAGAGGACAGCCGTCTATGGGGAATATCGTGACTGCTTTATGGAGTTAGTCGTTATTTCTACGGTACCTGCATAAGCGTCACTTCTTATGATAACATTCCCCGGCCTGAACACCTCCGATAACGCTCCTCACACTGCACACATTCCAACCATTCCTGCGGTGTATCCAGTGTCTCGTCTAACTATGGGTACTTACTACCTGTAAAAGCGAAAGCAGTCTTCTGGTAGACCTACCGCTCTAAACTCACACCATCGTGGAAACCTCAAATCGTACAATTACCACTGCTATGAATTTTTAAAACTATGAATATTTTATCACAAATTAATGTTCTCGTATTTCACTTCACTTTTCTCATCTCAAAGTATATTACACTAAAATAAACAGGATCACGGTAAACATATATGAAATAAATATTACTCAAAACTCCTTGACTTATATGTGAATTCTCTTCACAATGCCAATAACGACAGAGAAACTAACTTTTGAGTTAAAAAATGTAACATTCGTGCTTCGTCCCTATTTCGCAGCTTTTATTACTAATTCTGTCTATTGTAAAATAGATAAATAAATACTACGTATTATTTATGCATACTAGGAGATCTACTCTGATGTGACAGCTAATAGATGATAAACACACAGTTAACTTTGGAATATATATATATTTTTGCATTTGTTGGTGGTGCACTGACAGGACTTTCCTTTATTGTGTTCTCGATATACAGATATAAGCATACTCTGCTTAACTATTGACTTAATTCGTTATTTAGACAGCTGAATTACGCACTAACAATTTGTAATGCCTTCCTTCGTACACAGTTTAAGAAAGTGTTTTATGGACGTCCGTTCCGGGGAACAAAAGCACAACAGCCAAGTATTCACCATACAAAGGAAGTGTTAGCGTTTCAGCGAAGTAATGTACTTGCTTAATAACGAAGTAACCAGACAGGCTCAACACTCACTAATTGGCCGAGATTCGTATCACTTTGCGGGTGTAAGTGAACTAACGTATAAGTCTGATTTCTTGTTTCTTTCTCAGTCTATTTAACGACGCTGCCTCTACTGAACAGCTTATACAGTGTCGAATGGAATAAAAATCATGGCTGAAAATTTAGGAACGGGATGGAAGAATGCGGTTGTGACATATTTCAGCATTCCAGGAAGATGTCTGAGGAAAACTTCAACTCACGATACCTGCCCTTCTTGTCTAGAATGGAAACCGTGCGATCCATATAAGAAGCAACATTTGTGACCACTACATCGTCATTTTTAATTGGGACTTTGTAACAAAGTGCAGTTCGATAAACTGATGGGATAATAAATCGGTAAATAATCAGCGGTACATATGCAACCCATACAAACGTCAGATATGTCGTTCATATCCTCATACATAAAGTGAGCTGAAGCAGGCGTTTTATTGAATTTGAATGAAGCGTTTATTGGACACACAACAGAAACGAAACTAAATTACCTGGAGGCGGAATGAGGTTATTGGACGCACTTCCAAGCTGGTGTGGGGATGCCCCTACATAAACAAAATCCTTGAATACTAGCACTAACTTGCATTGCAGGATGCTTCGTTGAACTCTCCGTCAAACCTCTTCCGGAAAGATTCTAGATTTGTGTGAAATACAAAATTCCTTTATAGAGAGTGTATTTTTAAACATACACTGTGAGTGATACTCCTACGACGTTTTGTATATGGTTAATGGAAACTATCTTTTACAAGACCGAGGGACGTGCTGGGTAGATGTTGAAAGCTCATACAGCGACTAAATTTAGCTTGAATGCTGTATGTAATGACGCACGTTTGTCTATAAAAATCTGTTGAGTGGGGGATGTGGGAATCAGCGTAAGGAAGAGCCAAATAACAACTATTATTCAATAGCAAAAACACTGAAGAGTACACGCGGTTTTAGTGTTTACTTGCAAAGTGCTGAGACCCCGAGTTCAAATCCAACGTTCTTTTGTGCTGTGTTGTGATACATTCTAGAGATACTGGAGGCGGACATGTAGTAATGAATGGTCTGTTGATTGGAAAAATATGTTGGGAAATACACATTGCCATTTTAGGGAGGAAAATATATTCACAATATTGCATTATAATACAGTCAGAATGCAGCCTTCTACTGGAATTTAAAATGTAAGTCTCTAGTGACTTTTGTAGGCCTATAAACAAGGCTCAAATACAGATTTATATTTCTCACTGACATATAGCTTACGTACACAACGTACAAATAAAGGTTAAATTAATGGATGTTAAGAGCTACACGTAATGTAAAATCTAGTTCCATACTGACTAGCAAGTGATATTGTTCACAGCTACATAAAAATTATATTGAAGCCTAATTGCGTGAAGGCCCGTATGTATAATGCAATGTAATGCAACGTACTCAATACAGCAGAGCCCTTCTACTGAAACTAATAGTCGCCAAGTTACTCAAGAAACCTTCCATCTTTTATGAGAACCGAAGGTACATTGCCATATATATGAGAACATGCCATCGTCCTCTTCCTGATCCAGATGAATTTAATCCACAGCCTCACACACTATTTCGCCAAAATGTCTATGGCAAATCCTCTCAGTGAAAAACACTAGGCTGCAAACTGTTACGTCTTCATGAGTATCACATATAGTTCCAAAATAATGACAAACTAACAAAACTGAGAAGGTATTTATTTTGTAAATGAACTCACCCTGGGACGCCCCCAGACTCCATGTGGTTGGCCAATGTGACGTCATCGCTCCACACGTCATACTGCCACTTGCGTAAACCAAGGACTCCGCACAGAACGTTGCCCGTGTGTATGCCGATTCGCATGTCCACATTGAACCCCGTGGCTTCACGAACAAACCTGAAACAAGACGACTGCACGAGTAGGCGTATGCAGCTTAAAATGATCTTGTACGTTGAACAGATAATAATTTGGAACGAGGCATCTTGGCTGGACAGATTGAGGAAAGCTGTGATCAACTTTAGTCCGGATAGCCGACAATCCGGCAGCAATTCCGTCCTCAATAAAATATAAACCTGCTAGGTCACAAGGACGAAGGGTGAAGGCTATGGTCAAGACAGTGACGCCCTTCTCCATTCCTTGGGGACATTAATAATGCTTCAGGTACTGTACACACGAGACTGGGAACGTCTAGAACAGTAAGCAAGCAAAGTTGTTCAACGGTTTGTTTTGATGGTGGCCCAAGAGATTGAAGAGAATCTCTGCATGTGTACAGAAGCAATATTGAAAAGGCAAGACCAAGATGTCGGAAATACACTACGATATTCGCTGATTCATTTATTTCATTTCCAAAGCTTCCGAATAGAAGGTAAAACAATATTTGTATGAAAAACTAAGTCCAACTGAGATGTGAAAAATCACAAAGGACGTATTTTGAAAACAAATGTTCTCTGATTAGAAGTATTCCTTCTAGTTCTTGTTATCAAAACAATAACCGGAAATCGTGTAAAAGTATTATCGTACACGGCCTTGTAACAAGGGTGACTTTGGCTCGATCGTTGTGGAGGAGGCTGGGAGACAGTCTATTAGAAGTTAGTGAACCTGCTTCTGATTTCATTCTCGTACCGCAGTACGTATCTGTTATTGGGCTGCGTTTTCCAATGTTACACTCTGTACAAACACCCCGAAAAATGTTCCAATAAAAATAGTAAGCTTAATGAGACCCATACTGTACATGACTTCACAGTTTCTCGTACAGTCAGCCGTATCTGAGCGTCAAGAACGGGGCGGGCGTATACTAACCATCCAATTCGCCCGACAGCTTTCAGTGCAGACCCTCAAAATAAAATCACAAGAAACTATCGAGCAACAAAGCATGCAGAAGGAATGGCAGACGACCAGGACTTCGCCATTACATGCTTCATATAAAGAACACATAACATCGGCGGAGGGAATGTTCTATATATGCGTTCTTTATTATCACATAAAAGACCGATTCAAATAAATGTAATAAAGTCACTCAAAATAAAGAAAATGTTTCATTCCGTTGTTATTTTATATAGCCTCCTTGATTAACGTAAGGTTTTACGAGATTCCAACATAGAAAGACATGCATTTCTCACTAAACAAACGCCCATAAACTGATAAACAGAAAGGCACGCGCCATCATATTTATTGGCATTGGAACAACGTAATTTCGTTCCTATTCAGTGCAATTTAAAGGTTCTGCTAGCACCTACATTTTTCTGCAGATTTATTCCACCATCGTCTCTGATACTCATAGGAAGAATATCGTATAAAACCTAGTCAATTTGTTGTAACAAATATATTGGAAGAAGCAATACGGTGGGTCTGAAGTTGCAATACAATTTTGTTGCTATCCTTGGCATTAAGCAGTGGTAATAAAAGACAGTGCAGGTTTACGATTTATCTAAGTGACTCGTTCAAGGAGAATAAAGTTGTAAATCGACTTTGTGATCGCTCTTGCAATCAGCGACATGAACGAATGACTTTGGACAAAAAAAAAGCCGTTGAGAATTTTAAAATGAATTTTCGTTTACAAAGTTTAATGCGAAAAAGAAATTGGTAATTAGGTTTTGTTATTGTCTTTAAAAAGAGCCAAGCTCCAGTAGCTTATGTTTATTTTACAAAACCTCACATTTTTAAACAGCTTAAGGTGCGTAACATGCATGCGGATGGTAAAGATTCGTATGGATAAATAGCACGTTGAATGACGATATCTTCCGAACAAAAATTGCAGATCTTTGAGGCAACAACGCATATCTACAGAGGGTTTTTAACAAATATTGCTGTATCTCTTGAAAAGTTATTCCTGAACTTCAATTTTTCAGACTGGCCATCTGCCTGATTAACAGAATAACTAAATATACCACCGAAAGAATGGACTAGTTAACTAAGTGTTTAATTAACTGACTACATGACTAACTGCACGACTGATTATTTAAGTAAATAACAACTTATTACGTAACTAAGCAATTGCTGACCAGAAAAACTGATTTCTAACCGTCTGTCTGAGTAACTGTTAAGTCGAGTAACTGAATGTATGGACAAAAACAAAAGCTCGAAAGAACAGACATTCGATATTAAGTTTAAAAGCCAATACACACGTTTAAACCATACGATAAGCAAGCCTCCATCCACTTCACTGACGAACGAAGAAACAGACTAAAAATACTTCAATTCATGGGGGGATGGATCTTGATTATTTACTTGATGAATACACATAAAATGTATTTATACAATTTCACTCCACCACATATAACACAAGGTACTAACACAGTAGCGATTACTAAATATTGCTGTATTGTGTGTCGGAAAACTTTGACATAACATCGAATGCACACGATCCAGCGCTTTAATAGAAGTGAACGGACGCTGAATCCCTTGATAGGCACAATCATATAGAAACAACTAATTATAGCAGCTGGGGAGCGTTACGTCACGGCGAAGATCAGAGCCAAAAGACAACCTATCCGATTTCAAGCTAATTAGTCCTCCATGCAGACTATCGATAGATGGCAGTCGGTGACTACTACTTTCTTTTGTCTGTGTTTAAAGTTTGTCATCAAATTAAAGAATTCTGGATTGATTACTAATATTTTACGATGCTCTCTCAATTGCCTAAGTTGTGCAGCTTCGAGCGTGGCATCATATGAAAGTGAATGATAAACGTGAAGGTACGGGAAGGAAGTGGTCGTGGCACACATCCTCTGTACGTCTTTCTTGGGGCGGTGCTTAGGCACTGAAGAAATCTCACCGCCAGGTTGCCAGCAAGAAACAAAATGCATACCACTCATATCTGGTACATCACAGAAAACATGAGTCTCATCAGATAAACCCGGATTTGAGACTCAAAGCGGAGATGACCACGTTTCCTCTGGGTTGTAATGACGCCATTTTTAAATTCAACATTAAGATAAAGGAGCAACGAAGATGCACAGATTCACCTATTAACTTCGTCATGCTTGCCCACGTAATAACTTGAAAACCGCTGAACGGATTTTCATTAAATTTGGTATTGGGCAGTTTTACTAACATTTGTCGGAACATTCCAAAAACAACAACGCGTCTTCAGACAGACACGCGTTTCTGCGCGCTTCTTGAAATATATTTTGTACTTTGTCTTTCGGAGCGAGAAATGTCTAAGAAACGTTGTAGAGTAAAATAAAATGCATCTTATGCCCAATAAACTTTTCTCTTGAGTATTACTGTTTTCGGAATAATTGCAGAAACGGGGTTTTATGCTGTGTTACCTCAGAGTTCAAGAACCGTTGGGCTGATTGTGACCAGATTTTATGTTGGAGGTCCTCGGTCCTTCGTTCCGCCTATTTTATGCACGTATACGAACTTAAAACCTACAGTCACTACCAGAGCGAACACGCTAGAATTTGAAATGAAGTCACATATCGATGTAATGTCTTATCCATGTTGCATTGGACTTTTACGGTAAACATGAAAGATCAAAATTCATATCCCAAATCAATATACCAGTATGTTTTTGACAAGGTAATTAATAATGAAACATTACATCGTATCTCTCTTGTCTTTAATTAAACATTTCAGACTCAGAGCATATGGAATCAACAAATTCTTACACGTCTTGCTGTAATTTAGAAATTATATGAATGCGAAACCATTGTTTTATTCTTCATTTTGTGTTGTTTCCACACGACAGAATTTAGCGCTAAACTATCTACTGTTGAGCACTGCACAATGCATTTACATTGTTTCTTTAAAAATACGCCATGTACAAAACGTTTTTATCATATGTTGTCGATCACATTATAAACCGTAATAAGATGAACAGTCTTTTTCAGAAGATTTACGAAGTTGGATTCGAGCATTAAGGGGCGAACGTTAGGCGTATAGACTTTTTAATACTAAATTTCATCTTAACATCGTCAGTAGTTTCCAATTGAAGCATGAAATACAAACTGGCAGAAAATAAGACTCTCATTAAACATCCATTTTATGAACTTTGAAGAACGAATACATTAGCTATTAAAAACAAAGCCAACAGCATTCGATTCAGTAGGAAATAGGTTACATTACAGCGGAAATAAACATCTCCCCTGTATAGGCCTACAGCTGGATTTACTTAAGTTTCCTAAGCAGTGTTACAAAGAAATACGTACCTAACGCAGTTAATGTTCCAATAAATCTCTACCAAAGACAGCCTTGTTAATTAAAACGCATTTCGGGCAGCACGCTTCAATCTACCTAAGTAAATTGAGCAGCGTGGAGTAGTTGTAATTTTGCCAGAGAGAAACAATTAAGGGCTGCTTCTTCCATCACAGGAAACGCTTCATAATAAGAACTAGATTACATTAAGATTGCTAAAGCAAGATCGAGGACCTGAAACTTCAACAGATTGGTCTCGAATTGCCATAGAGAAAATAGATAACAAATTCATTCTTCAGAAGAGCAATATTAGTCTTCGTAACTAAGTTAGGCCTTTGATTTGCAATCGCAGTTCATGAGACTCGTATAACTTATATGGTTTTGAATAAAACCATAGGAGAGGTTTGTTATTAGCGTCAAGACTCATGCTCTTTAACGATTTAGATACTAAATGTTTACAAGAAATGTTCGCTACTGAGCTTTTATCCACGAGTAACTCAATTTTAATTTATAACAACAAATAAGTTCGTATAATGACATAACAATCACTCTTGTAACTGAACATCTGAGGCCTACAAGTGAAGCTGTCTACATATTTGCAGAACAGTTTCATATGTTGATCCTTATCCTTTATCCATTTTTTAGTTACTGTTCCCCGTTTCCGTCTCTAAGCTTTACTCCCTTTGAAAAAGTGTCTACAATTAATTCGCATCAAAGCCAACGAATGACAAACTTCGTGGAATAGAATCCTTCGTGAGACGTTAACAGTCGCTGGGGTGATTAAGAATTTATGGAAAATGAAAGTCAGTTACCATCGTCTGTAATATCCATTTTAATATTATCTTAACATCTGTTCATACGCCTCCAAAATCATCTCTCCCGTTCAGGTTTTCTGGATGAAATTTAACATTCATTTCTCATCTGCCCATGAGAGCTACTTGTACCGCTGTTTCATCTTCCTCACTGTCGCCGTAAAAACCGATTTCCTTGAAGAGTGCAAATTATGAATTTCATTATGCGAGTTTATCCAGTCTCGTTTCCTTTTCTACCTTCTTAGGTCTCAAATACCTTCAATATCATACGCTTTCCGAAATGTGAGAATTCTTTATCGTGTTATAACAGCTTTATTAATATGCGGATATTTAAATAACATAACATTTATAAGATTATATTTAAATGTATTGATATTATTTTAAATTTTACTGAGATTTCAATAACAGGATCAGGAAGTTTGCAGGTTTACTGCTTTTCTTATGTTTTCTGGAAATATTTCTTGAAATATTATTTTCTACATCTTAGATAGATAAGCATACCACAAATATTAGGCCACACTAAACTGTCTCCGATTGTAATTATACAGTACTAAAGCGACCTTCTGTGTAAATATTCTACCTTTCCAATATTAACGTTTCTTGTATTTTACTGAACAATTTTTTTTGAAACTTTTGTATAAGTGTGAAACCAGAACTGAACAACAAGTTACAAAAGCCAAAAGTAATACTGAGGATGTAAAACCAAATTAATATTCGTCTGATATATAGACCCAACAATAGCTCCCTTAATCGAAATCCTGGTAGAAATTCAGAAGGTTTAAATTTCGGTTTAGATTCATGCACTTGATACATATGAAACACTTTTTTCCGCGAAATGACAACAACACGTGTCACAGTGGCTCTTCTACGTGTAGTAGTGTGCCAACTTAAAGCGCCCATTTACTACATAGGTAATGGGGGGATTCAGAATCCCTCCTCTATTCATCATACATGTCCAGCTGTCGCGGACCGTGTGATAGGGTGAAATACCGGGGCTTCATCCAACTTGCCATGCAGGCGGTCTAATCCATAATTCAGGAGCAACAGCTGCTTCTACAGAGGCCACTCAGGTTATCTCCAGTAGCCACAACTGTTTGAGTAGTGTATTTGTATACCATGGCGACTTATCAATTGATAAACATCGAAAATGAATCTGAAATATTCTAAAGTGAGAAAATTAATAATAACAGTCTAGTAGAGATGTTGAACTTGTTAGCTACATTAGGCAACATAATCATTAGGGATCACTCTACTTTAAGAGCAAGTGACTTCTCATATCTAGGTTATCTTGTTATCCGCTTTATAACAGTGCCTGCTTTTCCTGCAAAACTTCTCTGCACTTTCCACCCTCGTGAGATTAGAAACAAACGCCATCTACCGGTAAACGCAAATCTGGAACTATAAAGCGGCCCATCCACGTACGAGTCTGGCTCGGCGAGCTTGACTCGTGAGCCGGGCTCGGATATATTTCACCACACTTGTATAGCAGACTCGGCTCGTGACACCCCACCCACAAACGAGTTCGGCTCAGTGGAACCCGAGCCGAGCCGGACTCGTACGTGGATGGGCCGCTTAATTCGTTCTCAGTGCTTATAAACACAGACACATCAAAAGCCGAGCCGAGCTAACGCCCCGGTCTTGAGAAAAAGACTTACGTTCTACCACTCTATACATCCTTTGCTAATTTAGTGTTTCTGGCTGCTTGTTCTACTGTGGAGGGCAAGAAATTAAAACTGTATTCACAAAGACATTAAGAGCATACGGTATTAAGTTCAGAAAGAGCTTG